GGCGAATATTAACAGAAGACGTATTAGCAACGATGTCATTCTGCAAAATCATTGACAGTGTGACGGTTACACCTAACCCAACTTTTTCCAAAAGCTACTAGCTCAAAAAACTCAGTAATAAAATCAGAAAATATCTTTCGCTGACTACACCACGGAAAGTGCAAGCAAACACTTGTCACCATGACCTCATCCCACCCATACGCGCACTTCTTGAAAGTAATAATAAACAGTTTATAGCACCTCCATAACTGCAAGTGCATTTGAAGAATGCAGCGTATGCAAGATCTGCAGCTGCAGTTGAATCTTCTTCGTTGGCTATCGCTTAGAGAACGCCTTGACATCGCCGACCCCAGCAAATTCGCCACAAAAGAATCGACACTCACTTAACGCAGCTCTAATTGAATGCAAATGACAGCGACAATTAAGCAATTAAAGTTAATTCTGGAAAATGACTCAGAAGAACACTATAAAACCTGTTATCGACCCTTTTGTCACTCCACGAACTGTTAAAACATAGTCATACCGCACGCAATGGAATCCACCATCAAATCCAACTCTGGCCTTGGTTATATCACAATTACATAATTTTTATGACAGTTAGCACTACCGAAGCAACTATCAATTTTATTGTCGGAATGTTAATACACTCGTTGTGTGTTAATTTTCACCTAACTGTGCACGATTTTCCCACCGTTCTGTTAATTACGACCAGAGGTGGACGAATCGCGGAATGTTCTGATCGCAAAAAGTGATTTTCGAAGAATCCAGGACTGTAAACTTCTAGCTATGATTAATTGCTGGTGTTGACAGATCGCGAAAATATTATGAGAAACCTGGTAATGTATGCAAAGATGTGAAAAATGTGCTAAATTTGTGCGCAGGTTCAAGGCCTGGAACTTTGCTCTGTTGGAAACTTGCACAGTTAAGTCTGTAATAAGTAGTAATCAATATACAGCACTATGGAATCACATTATGAAGATTATGACATAACCATAACGTTTTGTTGGGTGGTCGTAAATAACGATAAATATGTGGTCGCATCACGATAATGGACATAAACAGTCGGATGTCCACGATTGCTGGAAAAAATGTTGTATCGCTTCGGGTCATGGAGGCGTTTTCGACATTATGCAGGTAATGGATTGGTTTTGAATGGGTTTTTGTTTATGTTCTTGATTTTTGCAGTAGGTATGTTGTGTGATCAGATAAGGCGTAACTGTTTTTTCATTAATAATGTTTCGGTTGAGAGGTTTCCAAATTCCTTTCCTGAGTAAGATTTAATCATACCTCAACACCTTTATAATTGATCCAATTTAGCTTGTTAGTTGTAGTAAGCGAGATGCGTGAAAGGATAATTGTAATTGTAGTGCGATGGCATTATTTAGAAGACAAAAGTTGTTACGAACAATAGACGATAATCAATCGGTTACTATTGGTCCCGTTTCTGAAAAAACAAAACCATTATTTTTATTTTATTGTTATACAGTGCTACAGTGACCTGTGAAATTTAAAGCACGTTTGCCACTTCGTGTCATGTTAATTTAAGGAGTAACTGGTGTCTTTCAAATTAAAATATTCCAGCCTACTCGGGTCGTGTTTTGGCAAAAACAACGGTCTGTTCTTTGAAACAAGACACATTTGTTGTGATGTTTTAGTATCGCAATAGAACATTACACAGGATGGTGAATGGATCTACTCAATGCAAACTTGAGCTAGTAGTTTGTCGTAGAGGAGTTCATGAACCTGTATTTATTCAAGGGTTCAATTACTCAGGAACGATACAGACAAGAAATTTTCCAACCATTCATAGCACAAACGGCAGGTTTCACTTTGGCAGTTTTCTAACAATCAAGCTATAAACGGTGTGCTGAAAATATTAGATTATAAGTAGATGTATCACGAAATATTGATAAATGATACCGGGCATGACATGATTTTGCAGGAATGACGAACTAGGTTCAAGGTTACAGCTGAAACTGGAACCATTTCCTGTGAACCGTCTTCACATCATACATTATGGTAATATCAGCCCACTCAGATACCAAATGTGTAAATGTTGATCAAAAACGACTCAGAGTGACAAATAACTTCAAAATCAGCATTTTGAAGAGAACTGTTCGAAATCGTGTTCTAATTATGGACGAAACAATCCAGTGGTTTTTAATCCCTGTCCAGAGTTAATCAAAACTTGCCATGAATTCTGTCCCACTATCACAGTTCTTAATTGCTGTATATATTGCCAATTACTTTTTATCGCCAAAATGTCACTTCAAATTTACGCAGCTTTTATAAATCTACAATACACAATTATATCGTAAACCTCAACCAAACTAGCCAGTACCCAATCAAAAAAACTCCTCTACTAATAAACCGACCATAAACAGATCTATTCAATTAGACGTAATCGTGTTAGTGCAAAAAACTTCCTTTGTAAGGCTCCCATTGTCTAACCGCTAACCGTCAGCCATGTGTCTTATTACCGAAAAAAACAACAAACTGCAAACCGAAATGTTTTAAATTAGTTCTAAAGGTAGACGTCTTCCATCACTCATTAAAACCCAATAAACCCCCACTACAACATGAATTCCGTACATTAGCCGCACCATTACAGTACCAGTAGCAAATATTCCTGCATTTTTTCTGATAATCATAGCCTTGGCGGCAACTTCAGACAACCTTCACGCTTTTGGGCAAATCCGTCGAAACCCACCAAGACGATAAAGCAACGGTCCTGAAGCTACGAGGGGGATTCGAGAAGATCGAACTAGTGCAAAAAAACGACTGGCCATTTTAATTCTCGTGTCAAAAAACGCACTTTTCCTGTTATTACAAACTTTTTATTTAAAAAATTTCAAAAATATACCATGTAGGTTCGCAATAGTGTGTCAGTTTTTCCCGACGGTCCCTCGTACAATGAATTCACCTGTGTATTCTCCTGACTTGGCCTTCAACCTGTAACGGAAACAGGAAGTGGGAACATGTGAGAATCGCCGTGCCACGACCACTTGATTCTATCGAAACTTGTACCGGCGTTCTTGCAACATTCTTGACGAATTAATTTCGTTTTTTTTTTTCTAATTGATGGCAGTGACGCCATCCTGCTTGACATTTCTCAGGTGAATGCTGATGTCAACGGTTTTAATAATTCATGGTATTTTCGACACGTGCGCCACTGGATGATTTATCGCTTCATTGCATTTCAAATAAAGCTACAAATAGACGATTAAGTCGGATCAAGGTAAATTGTAACGAGTTAATTTGCGTGCGAGGAATTATCAGTTGGGAGTGGAAATTAGCACAATGGGATGGTGATTAGTGGAAGTTTGAGTTCGTGGGGTTGAAACTGCGGTTTCGTGATGGGTTGAAAATTTGGAATGGTCTAGTTTAGTGGTTTTGTAAATATGTTTCTGTGAGGGTACTTGATAAATACATGTGTACTTGAGATTACACGTGTTGAAAAATTTGATAATGAGTGAGTGTTTTTGTAAAAAAACAAAGTAAACAATGTGAGGAATGTAGAGAAGGAATTTTCTTTTATGTAACATAATCAAGATTGGTTGCCCTGCAAAAAAGGAGAGGAAATTCGTTTTGGCGACTCTGAAAAATGGTCAGAATTTTAGAAGAAATAGAGCTGTTAAAAACTTTTGCAGGTTAAAATCAATAAAAGAAATTCTTCTAGTGTCAATCTTTGGTGATTTTCAAAGGTGTACGTGAAAACGTCAAAGATTACATATCGATGGTTTTGCAAAATTGACCTTTCGGCGAAGTTGTCTAAAAATCTACAACAATTTTTCGAAATAAATATCAACGAGCTAATATAGGTGCTAATGATCCCAAACCAAGATTGCAGATTATTCTGAAAATATCTCAAAATTTGTCATGTCATTTTAACAATCCTGGAATGTTTGAAGCAATGAAGTCGTCAAAAACTTATGGAGATTGAAATCAACAAATCAACATTATTTTTTTTAATTAACCTGTTACAAACAAAACCAAAATGTAAAATCCTCTTGTCCCATTTTTTAAAGAAAATGTTAAAATATTCTGAACGCAATAAGCGTAAAACGAAAATAAAATGAATATTCAAAGTGCGAAAATGGAAATGCTAAACGTCGCCACACGAGCGCCAATAATTTGCATTCTGTCCACGTCGTATTTGAACTTAATACACTGAGACACTTTAATTATCGTCACCACGTGTTGACACACATCTCTCTATTTTTACCACTCCCAAGCACACGCTAAGTCTCAAAAAGAAAAAATACATGTGCATACACCTATTTGATCCAATTTTAAACACAAACCGTTTGCGTATTATCAGGCTATAATTAGCCCCGAATCTCCATAAATCTCCATTTGAACACAATACAGACGTTTTCCGTTTCGAATCCAGCATGGGACTTTCCCATGTAATAATAACCGCCGACAAGAGTTTCTAAATATGAACCAAAAATGACATCGAAAAGAACATTTGTGACACATCTTGTGACTCAAGCACGCGAGATGTCTGCGAGCAAGCACGGCATTTCCTGAAAAGCCGAAATCTCACTAAACGAAACCGAATTAAAGTAGTTGACGAGATTAAAAGCGAAATGGAATTTTGCACGGTCATAAAGCCGGCTAATAGAGACGTATTAAAGCGCTCGGCGCGAAAAAATTCGACAGGACGCTCAAACAAGTGAGATTTATCTCTTGGTTAATAGAGAAATATTTACTTTGCGGATTTGCAGAACGCCGAAAATTCAATGGAACGCAAACATGGCGTTATCGCCTTATCGCGCCATTGACAGCTAGGTTTTCCGGAAAATTTATTGGATTTGTGATAAGGGGTGACGCGCTTTTCCCCCGTTTTCGAAGTAGCGATTCGCGAAAAACATGGAAAATTTGTTTATAAAACTTAAGAGGTAATGGTCGACGGAGTTTACCCATTTTTCATCCATAATCGCAGATAAATGTTCAGTTTTGGCACGCTAACAAGTGTTGAAAATCCTAGTACTGACCTGCAATTCGAAGTACGGCTCTGTCTGCACTATCTAAGGCTAGGACGGATAAAGGCTGCTCCCGGGTCCATTCCTGAAGGGTGGGATCCTTGTCGAAATCCATTATTCACAGCATAGTTTTCTGGAACAAACCGCTTACTCAGATGGGAATTTTTACCAATAACATGACGATCGTGGTGATAAAAATTTAACATAGTGCAAGCACCTCCGCATTGTGCACCTTGGACAAGCTCAGGAATTTCGCGTAGGATTACCGAAAATTTGATTCTACCCACAGAACTATAATCTGACGAGTTTGTAAACAGTCAAATTGAAAACCAAATATTAGCACTAGCGATCAAACAGGAACGCTCTTTCTGGAAACTATTCGTAATAAACGAACCCTTCCAAATTTGGCCGGTGCCGATGTTTAACCAGCTGATACTGCTCTAATAACCCTGAAAAGCGTTATCGAAAATATGGTGTCATAAAAACGGTATATTACAATGGAACGTTTATTTAAAAGGAATGTTCTTGGTTTAGACCAATTAGTTGAAAACTACTGAAAAGTAAACATTATTACCGAGTGTGGGGCCTTTGTGGTCGTTTTATGGGTGCAAAAAAGGAAAAACGATAAGGCATGGTTATCAGCGAATGTATGAATTTGGGTTAAACACATAGTTTGTGAATTAACGCGCTTTTAGATTTGTTATGAGGGTAAATATGTATACTACGCCTCGAAGCGAAAATTATTAGAATTAGAGGTGTGCGGAAAATTGTTACGCAGAAAAATGTAAGGATAGACAAGCGCGATTCCGCTGGGTTTTTTTATTCATCCGATGATAGAGGGAAGCCTGTTTTACAAATGTTAACAAAATTCCGTAAGTAAAAGTAAGCAGCCACCAATTTTGTTGATTTTTTCGAGACTTTTGGCTTGTATTTTTTAATTTTCTGTAATCAATTAAAATGAAAAATTTTGAGGGATTGTCATCACGTTGTTGGTGGGGATGATTAGAAAAAATTTGGTTAGTGTTTTACCATCTACATGATATCCCTAATATACGTACAAAATTTAGCAACAATCGGTCCAGTAGTTTCGGAGATTACGTGTCTAATAAAAATGTATAGAGACACCAGATAGACAGATAGACAGACAGACAGACAAACGAAAACGGTAGATTACTATTTTCGTACTCTAGGGGTCATGAAACGTCGAGAAAATGCGAAAGCAGCAATTCGTCAGATGGACTCGATTACTTTACTTCCTTAGTTTACGCTCGAGAAGTAAAAAGGTGATACAACCAACATCGTGAATTATAGACGTCTAAAATTATGAAATGTTTGATTCAAAATTTTCATTTGGCCCACATATTTAAACTGTTAGAATATCAGCCTTTTGATTTTTGAGATTTATGATTCCTAGGTATGATTTTATTGACTTTAAAACCTTTGAACTACCGTATGCAACTAGGTCTCGACTTGAGTATCCTTCTATCGTTTGGTCACCACTATAATGTAAATGTGTTCAATCTTGGTGTTCGGCCTAGATTTTTAAAAGCAAGATTTTTACTTCCAGAGCGTAAGCTAAGGAAGTATAGTAATCGAGTCCATCGGACGACTGGCCACTTTTATATTTTCTCGAGGTTTCATAATCCCTACAGTACTAACCAAACAGTTTCGACAGAACTTCCCTTGCACCTAAAGTATACTGAAAGATATCCAGTATTTTTGAGTTGAATTTTTACTTTACAGAATTTTGTGATGAGGTAATCAACATTTTTGCAAGAAAACGTATATCAACTTGGATTGGTACACCGTAATACTAAAAATAACAGTATTGTATCCCACAATTTTCTGACGAAATGGATTGAGCCGTTCCTGATGTCATCAATAAAATAAATTGATACTTTCATTCATTTTTTGAGTCACCTGTATAAGCAAATCTAAAAAATATGAATGCAATGATAACTCACAAGGATATTTTGCACATTCCGGGTAGATTTAGGAATTTAACTCGTTACCATGGAAACTTATATTTGAACACCTTTAAATTTCACAAGTTTTTACAAGATTAATAGGGGCAAAATCAGTTTTATCTTAATAAATACTAGGCCCGCCCACCCGCCCCCTATTTCCCAGAGGATGTCATTTGTCAAAATCAGTCTTATCTTACCAAGTACTGGCCCCGCCCACCCGCCCCTATTTTCTCAGAGGATATGTGATTTACCAAAATCAGTCTTATCTTACCAAGTACTAGCCCCGCCCACCCGCCCCCTGTTTTCTCAGACGATATGTCATTTGCCAAAATAAGACTTATGTTAGCAAGTACTAGCCTTGCCCACCCTCCCTTTATTTTTTCAGAGTACTTGCTAGCAGTTGCTAAGTCTTTTTCTGGCAAATGACATATCCTTTGAGAAAATAGGGGCGGGTGGGCGGGGCTAGTACTTGATCAGATAAGACTGATTTTGGTGAACTTCATGTCCTCTGAGAAAATAGAGGGTGGGCGGGGCTAGTACTTGCCAAGGTAAAACTTATTTTGGCAAATGACATATCCTCTGAGAAAATAGGGGGTCGGTGGGCGGGGCACTTGTTAAGTTAAGACTGATTTTGCCCCTATTAAACTTGTAAAAACTTATTAAATTTAAAAGGCGTTAAATTACAAATTTCCATAATAACGAGTTAAATTCCTAAACCTGAATGGATGTTTATTTTTTAACAACACAGTCATTAATTTTTTTTGAGTTACCCTGTTTAAGCGAATCTAAAAAATATGAATAAAAATTATAAATCACAAGTATAAACTGATCATATTTTGCATATTTTAGATAATATTTATCCGGCAAAACTTTGAAATGACGTCATCAATTATTTGGAGGGGATCAGCGAATATATTTTGATTAAAAAATTACTATGCATGAAAGATCGAGAAAACGTAAATGTAGAGAGTCGGCCAAGGGACTCGATTACAATACTTCCTTCGCTTACGCTCGGGAAGTAAAAGTAGTCTCCCGTTTCTGTCTGTCTGTCTGCATCCATTTTTATTAGAACCGTAATCTCCGAAACTGCTGGACCGATTGTTGTCAAATTTTGTACATATATTAGAAGTATCATGTAGATTAAATAATTTTGCTAATTATCCCCACCAACAATTTATTGACGCAATTTCAAAAAATTCTATGTTTATTTGATTTAACTTCTATACAACAATATATTCCTATAAATGTGGTTTACGAATTCGCTTTGAGTTTTTCCTTAACCAATCAAAGCAATTTTTACTTCCCGAGCGTAAGCTAAGTTTTGGAAATTTCATTCTACCCTATAAAATTGTATTGGCAATAACGAGACGGACAGTAGTACAATAGCAAGAGATATTTACAACTTAAAGCTGTCGCGTGCCGGTAATCCCCAGATGTTAGAAAGCACAATAATCCAGGTTCGGACAGAGACCATCGTTACTTACGAACGAAAATGACCATTATTTTATAAGTACAACTATTGTACTCCCAGTTTAAAGTGGTTTTTATGATAGGTCCATTGTGTCGAAGTTGATGATGGGGACAATTGAGTAAATCCCTACCCATAAATAAGAAAGTGGTCGGTTTCTTGCAGGGCCGTACTTTGTTATTCAACTCATATTGTCCGTCATGGAATAATGAGTTGATAATGTTTATTATCTTGTCATAAAAACTACTTTAAACTGGGAGTATAGTGGCCGTCAAATTTTACCGAATGCTGCCTGGGACGCGGTCGTGCTGCCACTCATTGAAGTGATTAGGATGGTTGTAATTTTTATTACTCTCGACTTGTGGGTCCGTCCGGAACAGGGATGTAATCAGAAAAATTTCTAAGCAAGTTTATAAATGCTCCTACCGGTGATACATTTTGCGTTCAAAACAATGTTTGGACACAGCATATCTCTTATTTAAGTATTACGCTGTATACTGGTCCAAATCTTACTCTGTTTTTACGACTGCACCCTATTGTGTAGGAGTTAAATCCAGCGGTCATAAACCAACAACAGACCAACTGTCTACACTACACAGGGCCGTACTTTCTTCCACCATTTCTTTCACCATTACGCCGATTTTTGTCCACACCTCACACTTTTGTGAATGAAAGCGGATCTGGTCCTGCATAGGTAGCTCCCGAAAAACTTTAAGATGATTTATGAGACGGCTGTTCACACTTTCAATAGACCTCCAAATACTTGCGGTAATTGATATTGCAGTGCCATAAAAACGGAGTACGATTTGGACCAGTATACTAACTGAATAGCACGAGGCATCCGGCCCAAATTTATGGCATCTATAAGCTGTGGTTAGGGGTTTATTGAGCGCTTGAGGCGTTCAGCTTATTGTGATGGCCACTATACAATACCTCTTACCGATAAATTCGAGTGAACTGCTGTGAGCCATAAATATTTCTTACCATTGTACTAGTATCCGTCTCGTTATTGTCAATAAAATTTCCAAAACTATAATTGAGCCCATCGGATGAATGGCCACTTTTGTATTTTTCGCCTTGCCTGTTACTACTATGTTAATCAAGTCATCACAGAAGTGTTTATTTATTAAATTAAGAATAGGTCCTCCTATTTCCTTAAAAATAGAGAAAGCGCCCAGCGATATTTAATAATGATAAAATAATAATTGAAATTTGAGTTCCCGTGGCGCAAGGATGGGGGGTGCTATTAACGCCGGTTCATCGGTTCACCGAAAAGAATCGAGGAATTTTTATGACTATGTTTGTCTAGTTGGATCCTCAAGAAACCCCAGATATGCTGTTTACAATTTGTCACGTATTTAACAATAACACTTTTAATAATTTCAAAAAACTGCACAACAAAAATGTGTCAGACCTACTTGCGGAGTCGTGGCACCTAGACAGCTATTATCATTTTATTTTATGTGTTTGTGGGACGAATAATTAGAGCACAACTTCTTGTACCCCTACCTAATTTCAATTGATTTGTGTAACTGGTTCTCAAGACATTTGGACCAATTTTTTCGACTTGATGTAGTCTATCCACTAAGATGTTTTCCAAGAGATTTTTATTAAATAAATTTAAGGTAGCGTCGTTTCTATAAAATTATGCATGGACTTCAGGAGTAGGCATATGTTCTGTTTAACATCGGGATCAAT